GCAGGAATCGATATTACAATCGTAACACTACCGTGATCTCGCAAACCCAAGGTGATTGATCGCTTGAAAACGACGGCACTCTATGCCTTTACTTTACTTTATACACCTACACGTATAAACAGTACGGCATATTTTTTAAGTGTATCGATACCTATATAAATGCTGAGGATCGCAGATGACTCGCAACGCTTACTCGATGGTAATCCTTGACTAGAACACATATCGAGGTATCAAAAATTTATTCCTTGCCGTGATACCAAGCTCAATACTGGCCATTAAAACTTGATTTTTTTCTAATATTAAAAATTTCAACATTTATTAAAATTTATTAAAAATGCGGAAGATTTCGGCCACTTTAAAAGCTCTATCTAAGCTGATTTTGTTAATATTTCAACACAAATATTCCAAATTCTTTCACATCACTTTCCGACTAGTTCGATAATGAACTAAATAATTCCTAAAATTGAATGCATCAATCATTCAATTAAACAAAGCAAATAATGATTGATTCACTCGCTCCAATTGTATAATATAATTGTATAATATAAATATAATTATATAATAATAATAATTATATATAGTATAATCTATTTTACGGCATCCCTTCTTAAATCTCGTCGCGATCATCAACTGCGATCCGTTAAAACATTCGCTCCAAATAGATTACACATTTATGCTTTCTCTTTTTCCTCTTAACGTCCCGTATTCTCTCCTCTCTCTTTCTTTCTTCGCGCCCTTGCACCTCTCATCACTTTCTCGTATACACAAAGATTTTTTGAGATGACGACAAGACACTATATTCAGAATACGTACAAACAACTGAAGGCTATACCTATACGATATCCCGTGTTTTACGGCTTCTTCGCGAAACAGGGCTCAAAATGTGTGACAACAGTATTTAGTAATAATACCTACCACAAGACAGCTATCACACGTTCTACGATGACGTACGAACGAAAATCAAGCCAGTAATTCTACCACTTATGCACGATCAAGCATCTTCTTCCCCATCGTTGTTGAATGTAAAGTGTATATCTGCATTCTCTCACTCACATTTATGCTCTTTCTTACTTTCTCTCTTTTTCTCGTATCTATCTCGTATACTCTGCTCTATCGTCACTCGAGTCACCCTAGGGATGACGCATTTACACACAGATCCTTGACAAGTCGCGGAATGTTAAGGATGAATTCGGGATGTTTTACTTTAGCCTAAATAACTTGCTTTGCTGATTAATATACGTCGCGTGCGAAAATACTAAGAAATATCCTCGCGAAAGTTAAGCTGGACGGCTTTGATAAAAATTAGGATCTCTTTTGAAGGACGCGAATATTAGGGTGTAGAAAGTGTAGCGGGGACTGATTACCGCGATCCGGAGAATGATTAGCGAGGTATTTCCGCGCAGCATACATTCCGGTCCATCGGTATCAGTGATACGCAGTGCGTTCGCAGTGCATGTAGTCCAAACTGAACGTACAAGGTGCTTAGCCAAAAAGTTCGACATGAGCGACATTAATACGTCTGCGAAGAATACAATGCAAATGTCTCGCGATAAAATACGCCTCTCCTCCTCGTCCCCGTCTGATATATACGGAAGTAAGCGCGCATGTGTATATATATATATATAACGTGAAGAATATATCCGTATTTACATTGGACATTAACGCTAAAGTGTCGTGGCCAAATCCACGTGCAGTTTCAGGCATAAAAATAACATATGTTCACACAGCTCCGCCGTCTCATCGACGCGGTCCTCTCTCTTCGTATCAACGGTTATTTTCCTCCGGTAGAGCGTATTCTTTTCTTTACGCCCGTATGAGACAAACTCGCGCAAATAATCCGCGAACAGCTGCGAACGTAGATAAGTAAATCCGAGTCTTCGTTAATTGACTAGCGTTTCGAGCAACACGCGTATATTTTCACGCTTTATTAGCTTGCAATATGGGTTCGACTCGGTAATTACGCGCAGAGATAAACCTGAAAATCTGATTGCATCTCACGCATCTTTCTCCGTTCGAGCTTCTCCTTACGGAAGCACTGCACGCAGCCACGAAAGCGAGTTTATTGCTGAACGTTAAAATCCACAGCATATTAAGTTAAAAAATACAGCACTCGTTTCATTGCCGCTCTCACTGCACTTAATCCGAAACAACTGACAGATTATTTTTTGCGTACTGAATAAATTGCGGCGAATCTAAAACTAATGTCCGACAAGAAGCTGGCCCGTACAAATGTCGCGCAAATAATATTTGTTTCTATCGCACATTCGTAAATTCTCGTGAATGATCCACGATCAACGGGGAATCACACGAACAAAGCGCTATTTGTCCGAGACATACATGTAGGTTCAAAATTGTCATATTATTTAAAGAGATAAGCGCAAAAGTTTGTTTTAACATTTTATGGGCGCCTTACTTTCTTAGGCGAAGAGAAAATCGTAATTTCAGTAACGCTGCTGAAACTCATGATGCCATCTGTTAAAGTCGATGTGGAATATCACAATGGACCCATTTGCCAGACCAGCTAGAAGAAACCTACAAAACGAAATGCATTGATGCTTGTCTTATTAAGGATATACCGCTTGATTTTATAGTAAAATTCGTAAAATATGTATATGCAAATGTCGTATTACGTCGCTAAATAATTACGGAAAGATATCTTTGAAAATCGAGTTATACGTCGAATTATACTCACTTTTGATCATGAGCGAGCGCGAGAGAACGCACACTGCTTTCGCATGCAGGAAAAGCATAAAGTAGAGCAAGATTGAAAGTTCGCCAAACTTCTACGATACCCTTATCGCCTCCTGTCATTAAATATTCGCCGTCCCTGCTCAGCAGTAGACACTAAAAATTAAAAAAAAATTATAATATGCAATCATGTCATAAATTATTACAAAAATCAACAATCTCAAAAGTTACTTGTAAATTATCGTTGTGAGACTCGTGACGAAGACGCTTTCCGTTTATGGTAAACGCAGCTATGTGCCCGCGTTCATAATTTACTACAATGACGCCCTCGCGTGACATAGCAATGTTTTCGGGTGACGAAAATCCGTTCGGTGCTTCAAGCGATCTCAGGAGATCGCCAAAAGTAGTGTGAACAAGTACTGGACCGTCTATAACACCAAATATCAAAATCATATACGCGTTAAACAATTCGCACATAAATTAACGATTACAGAAAGAGAGAATTTTTCTAAAAAAAATATATTCTTTTTACTTTTTTTAGGATTTATTTATTTTTTTTAATTTTTTGGATACGTACAATGCGAGCCCGAGACAACTAATCCCAATTCGGCAGATATGACAACGGCTGTCACAGGCTGTTCGTGACCTGTGAGAGTGGCGCGTGGTGCCGGTGCTTCACCCTCGCCGACGATGGTCTGAGTTCTGGCATTCCAATGCCAGAGAAGAACGGTACAGTCCGCGCTTCCGGACGCGATGTAGCAATCAGAAGTGATGTTGCACTCGCTGCGCGATAAGCAAGTGACAACGCCGTAATGACCAAAGACTATCTGGACGATTTTCGCTACAAAATACAATTTTCTACTGTCTAAAACTTTGCCATATGAAAGCGATAATTGTCTATTTATTTATTATTCACTTATCGTGTGCTTAGCGCAATTAATCAATCATGAGATTCACCTGTCTCAGTCGAAAAGACGCGGAAACTGTTATCCCAAAATCCACAGGCCACCAAAAATCGACTGTCCACAGTGGTGACGAAACAATTGCTGCGTATTTTGAGTTTCTGGCTAAAGTTATCGCCTAGATGTCGACGTTGTAACATTGGATTTGAGCTGTTTGCCGCTTGAGCTGGAAATATTTAAAATAGCATTGCCAGTCTCATATATACACACACATAATATTATTTAATTTATATATATATATATATATTATTTACAGAGAACAGGGTCCATAGACAAAGGCTGGTTGGCAGCCTGGGCCTGAGGTGTGTCTGCATAGCTCGGAGATTGCACAGAGGCTACGAAAAATTAAAATTATGGTAAGCAGGAGACGATCGGGATTGACTCAAGTGTTGAAACATGTGTAAAATTACTTTACCTGCATAATTGGTATTCCATCGATTAACAGCAAACTGTTGTCCGGTGGTTACCGTCACAACCGATGGCAGTGGCAATTGGGGATAAGTGTTAGCCGAGATGTGACAGATCGGCGAATTAGATGGGAACTTAATGGTCATGCACACGTCGTCCGGAATGCTCGAGAACATCATTGGTGACTGAAATATTATTTTACATTTTTTAAGGTCATGTCAAATTTTTCGTATATGTATGATAGATTTAATATATATGTAATATATTGTGTATAAGTAATCTTTTACCAAATGCATCGCTGAACTCCTCGGAGGATGTGGTTCCATCAAGAGCTGCGACGGCGTTTGTCCAAAATTCTTAATTTGATTTTCTATAGCTTCCCTTATCGTGATATCGCTGATCGTGTCCAATTCCGCATTACCTTCGTACGTTAAATAATAGAAAACGTTGGTCGCACGCACGGCTTCCGGACCTGCGAAAACAGAATAATCGAAATGTTACACAAAGATTTTAATGCATTGCCTTTTGTTACGATTTTATGATTTATTTCTTTGTCACACCGCGCGACATGATGCATTCCTCGA